GGGGGAGGGTAATCGGGGGAGAGTGTATCGGGGGGTGGGGTGTGTATCGGTGGGGAGTGCATCGGGAGTGTATATCGTGGGGGGGTGTATCAGGAGGAGAGTGTATCGAGGGAGAGTGTATCGGGGGAGAATGTATCAGGAGAGTGTATCAGGGGAGAGTCTGTGTGTATCGGAGGGGGGGGGTGTATCGGGGGAGCAGTGTATCGGGGGGGCAGTGTATCGGGGTGGGGGGGAGTGTATCAGGAGGAGAATGTATCGGGGGGGAGTGTATTGGCGGGGAGTGTATCAGGGGGTGAGTTTGGCTCTGTTGTTCTCTCTTGCTCTGTTACTCTCTATCTCTTTCTATGTCAGTCGTCTTGTCACTCCTAACTCACTTCCTCTCTCTTGTCTCTCCTCGTCCTCTCCTCGCACACTCACTCTCCCCATGGTCACTCTCTCTCTGCTCCCCACTCTCTCTCCTCGGTCATTCTCTCTTGCTCTCACCTTCCTCCTCTCTCTCCCTCGCTCCCTCCTCGCTACCCTCTCTCCTTCCTCTCTCTCTCTGCCCTCGCTGGCTCTCTCTCTTGCTCTCTCCTTCCCTTGCTCCTTCTCCTCCCTCTCTCTCGCTCACTCCTCGCTACCCCTCAGGAGAAAGGGGGAGGTGACGGAGTGTTCCTGGGCGATGGCCGCCAGCTCTTTGAGGAACTCGGTGAAGATGACAGCACAGTACACAGCATTCTTCACCCTCAGCGCCTCGTTCTGTTTCTCCGCTGAACTCTTAAACATGGAGCTGCCCGTCAGTGCATGCAGCACCTGCCCCTCCCGCACCTGCTTCAGGGCGTGCTGGGCTGCCTGGCGAGCACGTGTCGGGCTGTGTGTGTGACGCAGAATCAGCTCCCCCAGCGACGGCTTCCTACTCCTCACTGAGAATGATCGAGCGAGTGTGAGAGGGTACAGAGAGTGTTTGGGCAGGGAAGGAGGGAGGGGGGAGAGAGAAGCATAGTGGGGGAAAGAGAGGGGGCGAGAGATGTGGTGGGGAGAGAGATGTGGTGGGGAGAGAGAGGGGGAGGTCGAGAGAGGGAGGTGGCGGGGACAGGGAGGAGGTGGGGGAGAGGGAGGTGGTGTGGGAGAGAGGAGGCGGCGGGGGAGAGAGGGAGATGGCGGGGGAGAGAGGCGGTGGGAGAGAGAGAGAGAGGTGGAGTATGCGAGGAGGGAGGGAAGGTGGGAGGGAAAGCAAAAGAGAGAGAGAGAGAAAGAGATGAGCTTTAGCTTGCAGGGTATACAACATACTTCACATATATACAGTGCATTTTACATGCACTGTAGTCTCCCTGAGCAGAATGCTGGACTCCCAGCTGGGGGGGGTGGGGGGGGGGGGCGGTTGGAGTGGGAAAAGAGACTGAAAGTGCGGTCGAAGAGGTAGGTTTTGAGACTCAACTTGAACAAGGCAAGTGAGCGAGTTGGAGGGACTTCAAGAAGGAGCTGCAGGAGTGGGAGCAGAATGGCTGAAAGCCAGACAGACGACATAATAATAATAATCTTTACATTTTGTACAGATCAAATATATCTTTGAGACATCTCAAAGTGCTTCACAGAATATACTGTAAAGTGTAGTAAACTGTACATTTTGTGGGTGAAACACGGCAGTCAATTGTGCCCAACATGTGCCACAAACAGGTGTGGGTTATTATTTTTTGAAGGGTTTGTTAAAAGCGATTTGCTAATCAACTAACAACTAAGTTCCTATTTACTGCTAAACTAAGGCCTGTGGAGTAAGGAAATGTGTCCAACATGTCGCCCTGCCCAGGAATCAAAACCAGGTTCTTGCTTGCAAAGCGAATGCTCTAACCACTGCAGGTTACAGTGCAGGTCACTGCACTGCAGCTACAGGACTCCTCGATGTGTGAGAGTGAGGCGCTGGTGGGGGAATGATGTGGAGGTGAGAGGCTGGGAATGATGTGGGGGGAGGGTGGGGAGGCCCTGGCACGAGAGTGGAGCTGTTTACCCAGTGTGTCCGAGCGGCGGAGCGGAGGCACGGTGCCTGGAGAGTCTGTCCAGTCCAGCTTCCCTCGGGCGATCAAGTATTTTCTGGCTTTAAAGAGCAGCGTGGGAAAATCTTCCTGAGTGCCAGCAAACAGCTCGATCTTGTTCTTAACTGAGCCCAGGACCTGTGGAGGCACAGAGAGAAACACCAGAGTCACCCTCAGACACATCACACGCACACACACACACACACAGCCACACACACACGCAGCCACCCAAAGACACACACAGCCACAGCCACGGACATACAAACACACACAGACACAACTAAACATATAGACAGCAACATACATACCTAACCCTAACCCACACACACTCCCAGCCCCACACAAACACACACCTGACTGGGTGTATGGGGGGGCTACGCTGGATTTTTGGGGGACTGAGCTGGTGAGTGGGGGCGCTGGGGGTGTGGAGGCTGGGTATGTGGGGGGCTAGGCTTGGTGTGTGGCGAGCTGGATGTCTGGGGAGCTGGGCGTGCGGGGAGCTGGGCGTGCGGGGAGCTGGGCGTGCGGGGAGCTGGGCGTGCGGGGAGCTGGGCGTGCGGGGAGCTGGGCGTGCGGGGAGCTGGGGTGCGGGGAGCTGGGCGTGCGGGGAGCTGGGCGGTGGGGGAGCTGGGCGTGCGGGGAGCTGGGCGTGTGGGGAGCTGGGCGTGGGGGACGCTGGGTGTGCGGGGAGCTGGGCGTGCGGGGAGCTGGGCGTGCGGGGAGCTGGGGGTGCGGGGAGCTGGGGGTGCGGGGAGCTGGGGTGCGGGGAGCTGGGGCGTGCGGGGAGCTGGGCGGCGGGGACTGGCGGGGAGCTGGGCGTGCGGGGAGCTGGGTGCGTGGGCGGGGAGCTGGGGTGCGGGGAGCTGGGGGTGCGTGGGGGAGCTGGGGTGGGGAGCTGGGTGCGGGGAGCTGGGGGTGCGGGGAGCTGGGTGTGCGGGGCACTGGGCGTGTGGAGACGTGGGTGTGTGGAGAGCTGGGCGTGTGGAGAGCTGGGTGTGTGGAGACCTGGGTGTGCGGGGAGCTGGACGTGTGGGGAGCTGGGGGTTCGGTGTGCGGGGACCTGGGCGTGTGGAGAGCTGGGCGTGTGGGGTGCTGAGCCTGCGGGGAGCTGGGCATGCGGGGAGCTGTTGGTGTGGGGAGCTGGGCGTGTGGGGAGCTGTTGGTGTGGGGAGCTGGGCGTGTGGAGAGCTGGGCGTGCGGGGAGCTGGGCGTGTGGGGAGTAAGGCGTGCGGGGAGCTGGGGGTGTGTGGAGCAGCGGGGGTGTGCTGGTGAGCTGGGTGTTGTGTAGAGCGCGGGGCGTGTGGGGAGCTGCGGCGTGTGGGGAGCTGGATGTGGGGAGCTGGGCACGTGGGAGCTGGGGGTGGGGGCTGGGGTGTGGGGGCTGGGGATGCGGGGAGCTGGGCGGGCGGGGAGCTGGGCGGGTGGGGAGCTGGGCGTGTGGGGAGCTGGGCGTGTGGGGAGCTGGGCGTGTGGGGAGCTGGATGTGGGGGGAGCTGGGCACGTGGGAGCTGGGTGTGGGCGGTGTGGGGCTGGGATGCGGGGAGCTGGGTGTGTGGGGAGTAGGGCGTGCGGGGAGCTTGGTGTGTGGGCGCGGGGTGTGCGGGATGGGGGGGAGCTGCTGGGGGGGGAGCTGGGGGTGTGGGGGCTGGGGATGCGGGGAGCTGGTGGGTGGGGAGCTGGGCGGTGGGGAGCTGGGCGGGTGGGGAGCTGGGCGTGTGGAGAGCTGGGTGTGCGGGGAGCTGGGAGTGTAAGGAACTGGGAGTGTAGGGAGCTGGGCATGCGGGGAGCTGTTGGTGTAGGCTGGGGGTGTGGGGCTGGGGATGCGGGGAGCTGGCGGGGGACTGGGGGTGAGCTGGCGGTGGGGTCCCCCACTATGCTTCTCTCTCCCCCCTCCCTCCTTCCCTGCCCAAACACTCTCTGTACCCTCTCACACTCGCTCGATCATTCTCAGTGAGGAGTAGGAAGCCGTCGCTGGGGGAGCTGATTCTGCGTCACACACACAGCCCGACACGTGCTCGCCAGGCAGCCCAGCACGCCCTGAAGCAGGTGCGGGAGGGGCAGGTGCTGCATGCACTGACGGGCAGCTCCATGTTTAAGAGTTCAGCGGAGAAACAGAACGAGGCGCTGAGGGTGAAGAATGCTGTGTACTGTGCTGTCATCTTCACCGAGTTCCTCAAAGAGCTGGCGGCCATCGCCCAGGAACACTCCGTCACCTCCCCCTTTCTCCTGGAGGGTAGCGAGGAGTGAGCGAGAGAGAGGGAGGAGAAGGGAGCAAGGGAAGGAGAGAGCAAGAGAGAGAGCCAGCGAGGGCAGAGAGAGAGAGGAAGGAGAGAGGGTAGCGAGGAGGGAGCGAGGGAGAGAGAGGGAGGAAGGTGAGAGCAAGAGAGAATGACCGAGGAGAGAGAGTGAGGGAGCAGAGAGAGAGTGACCATGGGGAGAGTGAGTGTGCGAGGAGAGGACGAGGAGAGACAAGAGAGAGGAAGTGAGTTAGGAGTGACAAAACGACTGACATAGAAAGAGATAGAGAGTAACAGAGCAAGAGAGAACAACAGAGCCAAACTCACCCCCTGATACACTCCCCGCCAATACACTCCCCCCCGATACATTCTCCTCCTGATACACTCCCCCCCCACCCCCGATACACTGCCCCCCCGATACACTGCTCCCCCGATACACCCCCCCCCTCCGATACACACAGACTCTCCCCTGATACACTCTCCTGATACATTCTCCCCCGATACACTCTCCCTCGATACACTCTCCTCCTGATACACCCCCCCACGATATACACTCCCGATGCACTCCCCACCGATACACACCCCCCACCCCCCCGATACACTCTCCCCCGATACACCTCCCCCCTTCCCCTCGACACACTCTCCTCCTGATACACCACCCCCCCCCCACCATCTACATTCCTGATACACTCTCCCTTGATACACTCCCCCCGATACACGCTCCCCAATACACTCCCCCCCCGATACACGCCCCCAGATACATTCCCCCACTGATACACTCTCCACCCGATACATTTCCCCCCCAATATACTCCCCCTGATACACCCCCTGATACGCTCTCCCCCAATACACTGATATACTCTCCCCTGATGTACTCCCCCCCCCCCCCAATACACTCCCCCCCGATACACTTTCTTCCCGATACACACTCCCCCGATTCACTCTTCCGCCGATATACTCCCCATTGATACAGCCCGCGATAAACTCCCCCGATATACTCTCCCCTGATACACTCTCCCCCTGATATACTCCCCACTGATACACTACCCCCCCAATACACTCCCCGAATATACTTCTCCCAATACACTCTCATCCTGATACACTCCTCCCTCCCCCAATTCACTCCCCATGATACACACCCCCCTGATACACTCCCCCCTACACTCCCCTACGCACTCCCCCACAATCTACTCCCCCCAATCTACTCCCCCCGATACACTCCCCCCGATACACTCCCCTACACCCCCCTACACACTCCCCCGATACACTCCCCCCCGATACACTTTCCCCCCGATACACTTTCCTCCTGATACACTCCCCATCTTTCCCTGGCCCCTAGACCTCGCTCCCCCTCCCGCCGGCCCCGGTGTGGTGCAGCTCTGACTCCCGTGGAGGCTGTCTCCCTCACACTCAGCGTGACTGTGCCAGTGGAATGTGGACTGACTGTAAACTCACCTCAAGCTGCTCAGTTTTCAAAGGAAACAGCCCTCGTCCCAATAATGTTGCAATATTTTTAAAGCGAAAAGCGCTTCTGATGTTGATTTTCTATTATAAATGTGAGTGTCTCCGTGGTAGGACGAGGGACGATGCATGAATGTACAGTGATGTCAAATACACTTGCTCCTGGTTTTGTTCAGTGTCTCTGTGCCCTGACCCACCCTCCCCAAAGCACAATCTGCAGTCCTGTAGCTCAGTGGTGAGAGCACTCTCCTTGCAAGCAAGAGGACCTAAGTTTGATTCACGGCAGGGTAAAACTTTAAACAAGTTTCCTTGCTCCATACGCCTCTGTTTACCTAGCAATAAGTAGGAATCCGGTTGTTAGTCGATTGGCAGATCGCTTTTCCAGGGGATATTAATCCCTTCAAAAAAAATAATAATTTGGTCACTAAATCACGACTTGTGAGACGCTGCTGTGTGCAATTGGCTCCCAATTTCGCCCACAAAACACACTCACTACTCTTTACAGTTTATTCTATGAAGTACTTTGAGATGTCTCAAGATGTGTGGGAGGTGCTATATCAAATACAAAGATTGTTATTTTATTATTTTCTATCCCCCCTGCAGTGTGGTCAGTTTAAGCTTCCCGCTGCTCTCTCAATCTGCTCTGAATATCAGCTCATCGCAGGAGGTAAAAGGGAAGCTTTAAACTGCAAGATTGTGCAGTTCTCAGCCATAAGCGTGTTTTAAAAGGGAAGGAACATTAAAGAGTGGGTTAGACTGGGCTGCTTGCGTGTAGCAACCCACCCGGGCCATTCCCCTACTCCCCACTCACACACCCCATCCCGGCCACCGGAAGGTTTTGGGAAGGAGAAGAGAGATTTGGAATAGAGCTGAAAGCTGAGCTACCCAGAGTGGGATGGGATGTGCTGAAGATGGTGACGGCCACGTGGGAGGCTGTTAGAGAAATCACTGGAGGAAAGTGTGATTGAGGGCTTTGCGGTGAAACTCCAGCAGCTTGGGACATCATCCTGAAGTGAAAGGCACTATATAAATACGGTGGTGTTGTTGATATTGATCAACATTGGGCACTGGGCTGTGGTCAGGTTGAGTTGAAGAAGGACACCAAGGCTCCGTGAGCAGTTGGAGAGGCAGAGCCAAGGTGCCCGCCTTCTCTGCTCACCATCAATCTCACAGCCCCGCTCGGGAGGGAGACACTTCCATTCTCAGTTGCTGAAGATAGGACTGAGGAAATGAGCAATGTCCAGCCCAAGTTGTTGGGAGAGTTACACACACTGTCCCTGGCCAAGAAAGGAAGCATGGTGTCAGGCTGAAGGCTGTGGTCAGTGTCCAGATGTTGAGCTCTGGGTGTGACTGGCAGCCAGTGCAGTGTACTCAGTGGCTGAGCTCTGGGTGTGTGGCAGGGAGCAAGCAGGAGTAGATCAGGGGGTAGAAGCTGCTGCTTATCCACAGTGACAGCCTGTACTGAGCCTGATCCACTCCAGCCTTTAT